TTTTGACAACCACCCACATGAGGTGTGCCAGTGGAATAGCAACGTAGCCTCTTCTAAATCCCATGTCTTGCACAGCATTGACAGGTACTTTGCGCTTCAGGAACCCCCCACCCTTTAGTGACCCTAAACCCTAAACCCTAAATCCCTCCACCACCACTAGAGATTATCAGGCCTTCTCGGGTTTCCCGGTGGGGTAACCGTCCTTGGGGGGTTTGGAGGTAGTAGATACCCCGGGATACAAGGATCCTACTGTGCAATCTAAACCCCTAATCCCACCGAATCCTTGCAAAAGAGAGAGAGAGAGAGAGAGAGAGAGAGAGAAAGAGAGAGAGGCAGGGAGAGAGGGAGAGAGACATCTAGACTTCCTCTCTAAGCCAGACTGTGACACAGAACAAACCGCAACGCTACTAGTTTGAACCTAAGTACGGTAAATGCCCCAATAATTTGCCTTGGGCTTGAGGCATGTTGCGACAAGAGTACACGATGAGTAGAACAGGACATGTTCCTTTCTACTGGGCTTTCACATGTCGTGGGCAACTTCGACAAAGTCTGTGTCCGGGGTCTGAGAATATGGCCCAGAAAAGCGAGATAATGAAACAACCCTAGACAACACCAGTATCATTGAGACCAAAAGTATTTATGAAAATAAGCTAGATAGTACTTTATGACTAGGTTCCCTCAGGAACCAACAAGGAACAGTTTCCCTGTGCCAGCTAACGAAGATTGCCATGGCACGTTTAAAATGAAGTGACCTTACCCAAAGAACCCAATACAAATTTATTTAATTTCCCCTGCATGGTACCAGGGTTTAGGGTTTCATGGCAATATGATTTAAGCTATATTTGTTAATAAAAGGGTCTGGGGCCCTAAGCCCTAAACCGCCCCCTGGGTATAGGCCGCCTCTATCGTCGTGGAAGATGGACTGCCAGTGATGGTGCTGCCACCTCTGGCCACAGACATTTCGGGCGTAGCGGGTGGTTTAAAACCAATTTATGCAGAGCTGTAGTTGCAAGAACCTTGGGGGGGGGCCTTCATATCGTGGGTCCCCTTCGCGGTTCCTCATACACGAATTGGAGTATTGTGTGGGTATCATACGGGGTCATGATTTGAAAGCGACTCCTGCTTGACTTCTTCCAGGGAAGTAATGATAAGCCAGAAACAGCTACGCAATGGCTGCTCGCTAAAATCTTCAACCATGATAATTAGGTACATTCCCAGCTGGGCATCTGTCAAAATCTAGATCTTTGATCTTTCCCACCGCCATATGATGATTACAGCCTATAGCAGTTATTGGAAGATCTCCAACAAGCACCCAGCAATCCGAGAAATTCCCCAAGCAAGGAGAACCCTAAGGGTCCAAGGGTCCAAATAATAGGGTTTTAGGGCCCAAATACTATACTATTAATGGTATTTGGGCCCTAAAACCCTATTATTTGGGTCCTTGGACCCTTAGGAGAAGGGAGCTCCATGGTCCGCACACTGTACACCAGCATCCCGCAGCCAGCCTGGTCCGGTTTGTGCCTTGCTATGTACAGGCTGCTGTCAAAACCAAATGAGCTATAGTCCAAACTCCTTAAGGGGGGTTATATAAGGGGATTATATAAGGGACCATTATTGGGGTTATTAAGGAGGATACTAGGAGTTTAGACAATGGCTCAAATCAGGTTGAGGGCTTACGATGCGGTGCCACCCATCAAGATACTATGACTAGCACATCGGGCTTCTAAAAGATGAGACGTCCTTGTTTAGGACGTTCTTTGCACAAGGGCCGTAGCATTTGAGGGCATATAAAAGACAACATTTCTAAATGGAAACTGCTATACTGTTCTGGGATCCGCGGTTTGAGGGCTGGGTTAAGAAGAGTGTGCGCATATACAGCTGCGGATGAAGCTCAGCTGGGGCGTTCTCAAGACGGGTTCTGTTGTGATGGTTGCAGGTCTGGATATTTCCAAAGAATTCCTATACAAACCCTTCAACTTGGAGTGAGGTTCTGTGAGGGTGTCAGAACTTGCCCAGCAAGACAGTTGCTTGCAGGGCATGAGGAAACTTAGCGGGCTAAATCTTGGGACTTCAAACTCTATTTCTTCATCAGGAAATCGGTGGGAGGATGAAGCCTCCATAAAATGCGCATCAATGTTCACGTATTTCCAAAAGCTTGTGTAGCCCCCTAAGTTGAAAACCTAATTCTACCAAAAAACAAAGGGCCCCGTAGAAGGAATTGCAGTAGTTGGCCCCTCCATATCCCAGCTGAAACTGCAGCGTGTATGACCGATGGCCACATAAATATTTTGTAAAATGCTGCGCCCCTAAGCGGTTCGAAACTTAGAGCGATGCAAATGATAATGCTCCCCAGAAGAAGTGTCAGACATGTTGAAAACCTAATTGTTGATACCAAGAAGTCTGCACGACCCTCGTACACTCATAATTCCAGAAGTATAAACCACGTGGGGTTTCCAAAATCAGGGTCTCAAGGTCTAGGGCACTTGGGGTTTCCAAAAAAAAGAGGGTCCTTTTTTTTAATGTTGGATGAACAAATCATGATTGGGTCTATACTGGAGCCGAATTTATCGAAACTCACACTTGGGGTCATGCAGGACCCAGAACCCTAAACCCAATAGTAGTTTCCATGTTCCTCTCCATATCCCTATAGAACTCCTATATGAGCTACAGTCTAAACTCCTAGTATCCCCCTTAATAGCCCCTATAGTAATCCCCCCATATAATCCCCTTTAAGGAGTTTAGACTATAGCTCATATAACCCCTACATAACCCGAATATCCCCCCTTAACGGTACAACCCTAAACCTGAAGGTTACGTCCTCAGCCGCAGGCATCATCCCCCGGGGGTGGCGTGCCTACAGGCCTGGGCAGCCACAGTCTGCAAACAAGGGGTTTAGGGTTTAGGGGTTTAGGGTTTAGGGGTTTAGGGTTTAGGGGTTGAGGGGTTGGGGGTTTAGGGGTTGGAGTGTTTAGGGTTTTAGGCGCTTTGGGTTGAGGGGTTGGCGGTGTCGGGGTTTAGATAAACCGCCGTAACCTAAATTAATGGGGAACCAGCGGGTAGTGTAGAGGGGCGGTAATAGGTTTTTTTGAATCAGCAATTGCTTAGCTCACATTACCCTACGAAGAAAAAAGGCTCGATCTGTAAGAGTCCAGCTGCCCCCCACTATTGGGTTGGCAGTTGCCATGCAAATGTGAGGTGAAGCTACTTGTGAAACTCAGCTCGAAAGTCATTTGGAAAGGGGTTAGGTCGTGGCGAATGCGGGAGAGAAACATAGACAGAGAAGTTCCGGCGATTGGGCTAGGAAGAAAAAAGGATTCTTTTTTACATTACAAAAAGAACACCAGACCCCAAAAAGTATACAGGATCCCTAACATTGATCCCGATTAGGGGATTTTACTTCCATCGTGACCCTATTATGGTCACATGAGAGCCATTGGGTCCCTTGCTATCGGGGTTGGGGTAGCAAAAAACCCGGATATCCTGCCATAACCCCCTAGATAACCCCAGCTTCAATATCATCCTCATCCGTCTCGTCCAGTTTGACTCCATGACAATGGTTTCCATGTTCTTGCATTCCCCTTATATAGCCCTATATCTGTATATAGATATGTATGTATATATTTATATATTATATAAACCTGAAACACTAAACCGTGAACCCTAAACTGGAAAAACCCTGAACCCTAAACCGTTTTAACCAGGGGAGCTATCGTCCTACATGTATATATAAAGAGAAAGATACATAGATAGATAGATAGATAGATAGATAGAGAGAGAGAGAGAGATATATATATATACATATATATATATGTATATAAGCCCTAAACCTTGTAACGTACACCTTTTTTTTACCAGGGCCAGCTTAGAACGCCGCCCAAACTCCACGGCGTCCCTGCCAGCCGTGGATTCCTCGGCATTCGGGTTCAGGGTTTAGTTTTTTTGGGAGGAAGAGGGTCCTAGAAAAATCAAACTGTCAACGCTTTTGGAGGGTTATATACCAGGGATAAAGGGTAATAAGAATTATAATATAGTTTCCAACCTGCCCCTGATTAGGGTTTCGGGCTGGTTTGTGGTTTTTAAGGGCCCTGTATACAATCCTTAAACCTTAAGGAGGAACCCCTGGCATCCTGGCATATTCAATATACATCCCTATAGGATTTCTAAGAGCATCTGACACCTTTTTTTTGAGAGCACCCTTAATCCCTAAACCCCTAAACTGCTCACCCCAGCACATCTGAGCCGGCGACTGCAGCTTCGACAGCGCGTTCTTCCCACTGCCTCAGTGCCAGAATGTAGAGGTTAGGCGGATCCCCCACCCTGTAATAGTGACGATAAGGGAGCATGGTGATCATAATGTCCTTGTATAATCCTGGTATACCACTATTACAGAGTCGGGAGTCCACCTAATGCAGAGGTTATCTAGGAGTCATCTAGGGATATATAAAGGTTATGTCGTATATGTGAACAACTACCAATAATACCATGTTGAAGTTTATTGAGGTGCCAAACACCATGTTTATACAAGGAATCTTGAACCACAATTCTGGCAATTCTTTAGGCACCCAAAGTATTTTCACACTGGTGGAAACTGCAGGGTGCGACAGCCGACAGGCATCTTAATTGCCAAAACCTTGGAACCAGCGAGACGGTCGAATAAGGTTTTGTAATGTGTTCTTCTATTTCACCTCATAAGCTCGTGGAAGCCAGTCAGAAGAAATGTACAACGTCTGGCTAATTAAAGGTAGACAGCACATAGCAACGTCGCTGCAACCTTGGCAAAGCTCTTTTCACTTCAGTTGCGGCAGCCCAGTCCACTTTCCAGAAGAGACAGCATCAGCCAGCTGCAGGACATCGCACTCCACTGCAGTGCCTCATGCGCAGCACAGCTTTGGTGTTGGTGTCTTTTCATTGCACACGTTGAGGGCTACTGGTGGCAAAGCGTCCTGCCTTGAAGACTGGAAGAGTCTTGAGCCTGGGGTCCTTATTAGTATAGGCGCAGAAAAGTTGCCTCTGGCCCACTACCAACTCTCACACGTCCTACACGTTTCGCTCGACCCAACCGGTCTGATCTGGCTAGCGGCATGGGTCATGTCATGGGCATTGTAATTCGCATCCGCGCAAACAGCAAGGCCATGGGCTCGATACCCAACCCTGCTGCACCTCTCCCGCCTGCCCTACAACGTTTGCTGGCTCTCTGAACTGCGGGAAATGAGGGGCCCTCGATTACGAAGGGCCTATGGGCTCCCTCCTACGGCATAGATTCTAAATGGTCAAATTCTGTCAAACCGACACATAGGCCGAGCCGGCAACCCCAATACCCTAAATCGAGTGCCCTCAGGCATTGTCACCCCCTTGCCTATGTCATCAGCGAAAGCCTCACGCACAGAGTAGTCCCAGCTCCAGATGCTGCCCGGTTCCGGAGAAGACCTGAGTGAGCAGGGAACGTGAACGGAAGAAAAATGTGCAATGTGCAATTGTTTAAATGCATTTGTTCTTTTCAGGAGTCTAGGGTGTGCCAACGAAGAAACGCACGATTCTTGAGACTATTGCCTGTTGGATTTACAGGGCAACCTCCGCTGCACAGCCTCAGCATGATCGCACAGTTGACACCCCCGTCGCGAAAACAAGTTTGAACTGCTTGCAGGACCGGCCAGGGAAGACTCTGCTGGAGCTTGCACATCTTGCAACGCCTCGTCTAGCGCACACTTACTTAACCCACCCACTTTCACGACTGATAAACGTGTAACCACCACCAAATAACAATGGAACACGAACGAAGGCATGAGTAAAGCATCCCAAGCCGGAAGTCCGGAAGTTGAGCCGTAGCGGCTTTGCGATCTCTACATTCAGAACCTGATGCCAGGAAGACCCTAAGTTGCAGTCTGAGCGCTTCAGCAAGTCTGGAGATGCCAGTGACGCACACCAGGGGGTAAACTTGCTGTCGGGCCGATCGCCTTGCCTTACAAGGGAGCGATATGAGCCATCGAGGGTGATCAAAGTCTTAGGCGGCTATGCAAAGGTTATAGGTGAGTATATGGCATACATGAAGTGAGCTATATCCTCTGTCCTCTATCCATCCATGCTTCCATCTATCGAGCGCATCGAGGAAGAGGGAAAAAGAGGAAAAAGCAAGGATGCACATATTTCTGGCCACAAATCAAGAATCAGTGATGCTGTAACTGCGGTGAAGTTAGCCCGCAAGCCCCTAATCAATGGGTAATTACTCATGCGCTATGTTAGTGCCTGTAGTTTCCCACATCCTCCAGTTGCAGAATTCCCTTTTTTAATCCCTAGCAAGTCGCAACCGAGTGACAGCTCCTTTCCGTCTAAAGCCAGGTAGGGCGATGCTAAAGGCGTAGATACTTTGGGTACTTGAAGGTTCAGGTCATGTCCAAACACAATGATGACTACTACTTACCCTAAACCCTAAATCCTAAGCCGCACTACTTATTGCGAGTCAGATTGGGGGGCTTAGGGAGCCATAGCTGGATTTTGATTAGGTACAATTATATCTTATAGTTAGCCTGAACCTCCAAGTAACCGTCCTGCCTGTTAATATTCACAACATACCCGCTCTTGAGTTGAACAGTGCCCAGTACTTATAGTCCCCCTTGATAGGATAGAATTTGGCTTTGGTTATATTAAAACAAGATCCCATATATCCCTTTTATCTACCTGAGGGGGACTATACTCCCATGTAATTTGGGTGATAGCCTAGCCTCGGCTGTAGGTCCTCGGACGCCTTTCTTGCAGAAAGTTAGGAAGGTCCTAGCCAGTCTGGCTTGATCATGGAAACGTTCCGAATTCCTCAAGCTACCCTGATGTTAGTCCAAGAGACGTAAATACTTGGGCAAACCTAGCGCAAAAGTGGATCAATCCTGCAGCTTCAGGTTGCCTAACGCACTGCACCTGACCCCTTACAAATCCTATGTATATATATATATACAAACAATTATATATATATAGGGTCCTCAATTCCCTGGGCCCCAAGCAGCAGAGAGTTGCAGCCCTCACCTGAAATCTGGGCTCATGACACATGCTTGGCCTTTCCGGCCACGAACCCACTCATGATGAGACGGGCTTGTAGATCGGCTCCTGCAGCCAAAAACTGCTCGGTGTGTGAGCCACTGAAACAAATATACTCTCGGCGCTGGCAGATTTATAGGGGACCTATAAGCTAGGCTTCAGGCTCCCAAAAGAGCAATACAATGCTTCCTCAAAGACACCTGTTGAGCAATTGAACGGCCTGCTCAGGCAAATGCGATGGGCAGAAGCTTCAGCAAAACAAGCCGTCAATCATTAAAGAACAAAACGTGCGAGACGGCCTTGGGAGTGTGAAGGGCAGAACAGAACTACGTGACATCAAAGCTTAGAAGGTTACCAGACCCCTAGCAGTGACCTGCCAGCCCCCCACATCCCCTCAACGAAAATCCCCCACTAGAACACCGTGTTTATCAGGGCAATATATAGCTATATGTTTATGTATAATTATATATACATACATAGTTGTTGGGGTCGTCACAACTAGTGGTAGTAAGTCTCAAGCTTTAGCTCAGGAGCCCCTCCATGAAAACAAATGCTGGATGACAAGCACTTCGGGCTTTGCCAGCATGAAGGTTCAGGTTGGCTATTGATTCCATAGGGCTATACAGGAATTATAGGCAGATGATAAGGATTGCACCCCAAAAACGGCGAATCACTCACACGAGAAACGGGAAAATCGAATGAACACCATATATCTGTAGTGGATTCTACATAACGGTCATAGTCGTCATAGTATATAGGGGCTCTCGTTAAGGGCTGAGTATTGCTAGCAGTACAGTGCTACGGAACTGTTGTACGGTGGGGCAGAATTTAAGGTTTGGGGTGTTGGGTGACAGCATGTCTGCGGAATTGCATGAATGGCACCAAGAAGCACGTGCCTGGGGACGGCCCAAGCAGAAGGAGCACAAACATGGGCTGGTGAAACCTGACACGGGCCATGTACTTCCGAACTAGGAAGCCATATTACGAAGCACTGGTGTTAACCCTAAACCCTAAACCCTAAACAATCGTAACAATAAGAAGAGACCATAGGATACTACCTGTTTAGGACTTGTGCCGTGTCCAGGCCAAATTTCCAAACCTCCAAAACGTTCGGATAGTTTGCTTACTGAGCGAAGTGTAGCATACTGGGCCATCCAAGGGTCCAAGATGCTCCACGATTTTCTTGCCAAGTTCGAATGAAGTGCGTAGACACAGAAGGTACCAGCGATACACTCCCTGTATCTCCAATATTCCATTTTTCATAGCCTCCCCCGCCCCAATTGAAAACAACTATGTCCGCTTATCTCTGATGGTACTTCATTGGGTGCATTTATGCTTAGTGGGTGCGGGGGGGTTATTATTAAGGGGAGCAGATTCCTCATGGAGGTATATATGCCCTAGTAAGGTTCAAAATATGCGCTGGCAAAAGTCCTCCGCGCGCCAAGGCAGGCTAAAATATTCGCTTACGAGGTTCCATGAAGATCTTAGGAGCCAGAGTTTCGGCGTTATTTCAGGTGTTTCTCGTGTAAGAGGCTATAGTCGCGAAACATGTCAAAGTGTCTTGCCCAAGCATCATGCTGTAGCAACAAAATGTCTGCAAACGAAGAGGGTTACCGCACAGCTATGACCTTGAACTATCGTGTTTCTCTTGAGGGCCGCTTCTTCAATATTTGGGAAACAGTTTGTTGAACAACTCGCAAGGATGCCCGTAAATAATTATGGAAGCTTTTGTAACAAATCCAAGGATTGCAATGCTCCTTCTCATGGGCTCTACACACAGATGAAGCTCAATCTTCTCCCAATAGTTGTGAAGACATTGTACAGAACACCACCAAACAGCAACATCATTCAGCACCCCTGTGTCCCTCTTCCTATAATTGGGCCGCAATTGCCAGTGGTCACCCTAAACCCTAAACCCCTAACATCCCGCAAAGAAGCCCAAACCTCCATCTGTTGGCTTCGATGATGTGGGGGGAGGGGGAAGATGAAACCCAATACGTATGATCGTTTCGTAGGGGCTTTCAAGTAGGGACCCCCAAGGTTTGCGCAAATAGATGTATATACATATATGGCAAAAATGCTATCAACAACCGCTACTTACAGTGTTTTAAATCTCTGGGTAGTTCTTGGGGGGGGGGGGTGGTGACCGTAGTACATATATATAGATATGTATATACGACCGCACAAAAGCCCAATACAAATCTCAAGAAACTGCGGCAGCAGCCCAGCTTGTACTGTGAAGTCTACGCCGATGCTGGCCGACATGGCCTTAGGTCTTACAAGTTGAGATTTGAAAGGGTTAGGGTTAAATAGAAACATATATATACATATATGTATATGAACATATAAATATACAGGTCCCTCATCCACCTTCTCCTCTGGCACCTCCTCCTCACGTCCTCATTCATACATGTACACACATATATACGAATGCATATATACACTTCTTTAACAAATCTCATGTTCATGATCGCCAGCATCATCACCATCATCATCATCAGCAGGCTAATGGATGCGCTTTCGTGCAAATACATGTTCTCAGTCGGGTACCGCAGCCGTTTGAGCTGCCAGATGGGCGGCAGACTGCTCCGAGGGGAGTGGAGGCAGCCCAGCTGAGAGAGCTTCGAGGGCTGTGCGGCCAGCACTCCTCAAAGGGTTGAGGTTCGAGTCACGGAGTCAAAGTTAAACGGTTAGGGGCCTGGTAATAGGATGTAGCACAAAGAGTTTGGGGTTTAGGGTGTGTTTCTCACTGGGGGGGGGGGGCCAAGGTACTGGCCTTCGTTTGTATTGGCAAAGGTTCTTTGGATTTCAAACTAAGTAGTGTTTCTTTTGGTGGTTGAACCCAGTAAGATCATATTCCTTATATAAAATCCTATACCCCAAAAGGAGGATATAATCTTACTCTATAATGAGTACCATAGTATCCCAAATTTGGGTTATTCGGACTTTGGGATGAACCAGAGTCTCTTGTGGTGTAGACCCTAATTGATAAACCCTCTCCCCTTCATGGGGCTTATAAAAGGGATACTAATATCAAGGCCCTTAAAGGGGAGGGTGTTTATTAACCAGGGGTCTACATGTAGGCGAAAGCTACAAGGTTCGTGGGAATGTATGAAATGCTACTTGGAGGGTCATGGGGACTGAGTAAGTAGGTTAGTAACCCC